CCGGTGTCATCAAGAATTACTAGTTCTTATTTTAATAAAAATTCAGGCAGATCTTACTTTTCACACTTCCTATGTCTGTGGGCAAGGGGTATTGCTCTGATGCACCCTTTAAGTCATCTTGTCTATGTGTCTATGACCTGCGGCCTAACAATCCTTTTCGGGAGCACTCTCTTCTGGATATACCAAATCAACAATGTAGTAATATTCCCTCCAAGGAAGGAGAGGCATTACTTCTGACATGAAGTTTGAACTCCTTTGGTTGTAATTAAGCACTGGATTTATTTCGAATGTACTCTTGCTTGTAATGCCTAGGGTTGAGGGGGAATTGCCAGGAAACCAGCCCTATCTAATACATAACAATGGTGATATGAAAGTTTGTTTTATTAATAATATTGTTGTCTGCGGTCTCACTTCCATTTTGAGACTTGATGATGAAAATGAATTATCCATTAATTTAGATTTTATTGGCCTTGATAATTATAATAATCACCATTATCATTATCATTTTCATAATCATCACTGTTCTAATATTTAACTGTTGTTCTAATGGTGACCTCCTTAGAACGAAATGTTACATCAGCATCTCAGAAGCATGAAATCAGATACCTGTACTAAGAAAAAAACCATTGCAACATACTCAAAGAATCATCCAATCCAATTGCCTAAGAAGGAGCACTTTCTTACACCTGATACCCCTGAAATAGACTGGTTACCATCCTGCAAGGAGATGAGCTTAAAAGAAGACATGAGCAAGAAAGGTACAATTCTATTTGTTACTGATATATATAATCATTTATGCAGGCTGGCTCAGTTCAGCTTCAAGCTGGGCCCCATAATTTTCTTAATCAGCTAAGAGGTAACAAGAAATCAGAATAGGCAAACATATATATCAGCTCTAGTAGAGAAATTTTTAGCTGAGTGTCAAAAGTAATCTGGGATCGGTCTGGTTTTGCTTTTCTTTACTCTATGATTGGTCCAGAAAACTCATGAAACTTAATTAATTAACTAGATACAAAACTAAACCCAATTGTGTCTGAAATTTCAACCATAAAGAAAAACAAGCATTGTTTGAACAGATAGTATGAATCATCTTGTTGACATAAATATGCACCAATGAGCTTGGTAACATAAAATACTGACAAATATTATGTACATCAGTATAAAAGGGTACTGGATACATGCTGCAGCAAAACATCAGCCATTTTAAATTTGTTTTTATTTCAAAGGTTCCAAAACACTCACCCGACCTGCAACCAGACGAGGGTCTACTCTGGCACTCCGAAACATAAGCAACATACCACTTGAAAAAAATCTAAGCCAAACACCATGTGAACCACAATCAAGACAATCCAGTAAGAAATTAACAAATAGATTCCAAGTTGCTGTGTGTCTGTTCAGTAATAGATCACAGAGGACGTCAAAATGTGGTAAGAACAAAAAAGTGGCACACGAGGCGCAGCCGAGTGTGTCACTGATGTTCTTACCACATTTTGACGTCCTCTGTGATCTATTACTAAACAGATGCACGGCAACTTGGAATCTATTTGTTTTATATAATAAAGAATTTAAAAAAGTTTTAATGATTACGTTGTCTATACGTCTGTCCTCCAATAGATCATAAGTGAGAACCAATCAGAATGCATGCATAACTGAGCTTATTATATAAATCGTAATAGATTGTACTCTCTTAACCCTTTAACTCCAAGAAGTGAGTTATGTGTTACTTCTCCTTATAATATCTACATCTTTAAGTCAGCCAATAGACAATGAGAATACTCAAACTTATCTGGAAGAAGTTGTTATTTTGACCTAATAACAAATTCTTTAAACTAATTTACAGGGGAATCTGTAGCAGCTTGAGGGGAGAATTAATGATCAGATCTTGGGAGTTCGTGGGAGTTGAATTTGCTTTTTTCTTGAAAAATTTCAAGAACAGAAAATATTTGTCTACCTTGCTTCCCTCCTTGCTAAGGTTCAGTCAAAAATAACATCATCACTCTCCAAATTTTAGCTAGTATAGAACAACTAGACAAGATAATACAATCTTTTAAGTGAAGACAGCTCTTTACTTGTGAGATGGCTGTCTAGATTAATCTCAACTGCCTAAAATTTTTCATGGCTTCATCACCCATTACAGTTGATAAGCTCTTCTCAACCTTTAACTACAAAGCAGGGCAACTTATGAAGAGGAAGTTAAGAATTGAAATATTACTGGTAATTTTCAATGTATTGAAACTGTTCTATGTATCCTTTCAGACAGAAGGCTGCTCCTTAGGGGCTTTTCAGCTGCCAAAGTAAGCTCCATGGGTAATAAAGACTGCAAGATATACAAAGCAGAATTAGAGAAGTATGCACTGACTGTATAAAGAGTCATATGAGCCATGATATAAAGTCACTTTCTATTGGTGATTGCATGCAATGTTACAACTGTTATACTGGAAGTCTTTTGCTGCACTTGCATTCCAACATCTATGACATTGTGACCTGTGTCTGATGGTGATACAACTAATTTAGATGAGAAATAATGAGACAAATATAAACTATTCTTAGCAGTGTTATAACTTTGAAATTCCTATGATGCAGTAAGTATAGTCAGGCTATTATAATTTTGTAGTGTAAAATGTGTGGTTGAAACAGTGCATGTAGTCCATTGAAATGCAATTTAGCACATATTTATGAATTGTTGGTAATAATACCACAATGCTTACAAGTAAAAACTGAATGTTTGTTAAAATGTTTTAATTAATACATATACCTTTTTCAAATGTTTGCATTTTCCATGAATTGATTGTTCCCATTACTAACAGCTATTTGTTTCATTTGATTGCGTACTTTTTATTACAGACCCAAGGATGTCAAGAAAACGAAGAAATCAAAGGTTTTAGCCTCCACAACTACATATTCTTCAAGGTCAATGTCTTGTTGTACAGCTTGTGGGGGTCTTTCTTGTAGAAGTGGGCATTCTGTTGGTGCCAAACAAGCAACTCTCAAGTCCATGACAATATGCCACTCTTTAGATGACTTGGACTTGAGTTTTGCAGAGTCAGAAGTGTTGCAACCTCAAAATTCAACCCTCAGAGAAGATGCCTTAAGTTTAGAACTGAAAGACATTTTCCCTCAAGACCTTTCAGCCATATTGGGTAAGCTTTTCAAAATGTATTTGTTTGTTTACTCAGACATTGAAGATTGTTCCAGCTGCTGCATTCACCAGAGGTGTCCTGGAGATAAATTTTTTTTTTCTTGACTAAATTTATTTCTGTAGGATCGCCAAAGACTGTTTGTGGTTATGGTTTTAAGGAACTCTCTTTCCTTAGAAGAAAGTCTTGACTTTTCAGCCTTTTAGCTATTAATTGCAGCATACAGACACAACGGGTTTTCTTGTAAGCTTTGTAGTAGACGGGAGTTGTTAATAACTTAAAACTTGATAGAAGTGTTGTTAGAATTTGCAGTAAACCTCTATGGTCACATATCAGTAGGGTCTTAGGCTTGAGAAAGAAGTATTCAGCAAAAACCAACAGAGTATCTTGCAAAGTTTTCTGGTGGCTGGCCCTTATAAATAGCAATAGTACACAAGTTCTGAACTGCGGTTGTTACAGTATTTAATATTTAGTTAGTACCAAGATTTATGGTGCTACAAATAGAATTCATTAAAGTGATCTTTCAATTTTCAGAGGAGCCCGTGGACAACAAAGAGATTGAATCTCCTAAAAGGGCTAAGACAGACAAAGAAAACTGCAAGCAGAAAAACAAGCAAAAGGTAGAACACCTCCTCTTTCAGTTCTCTACTCTAAAAGGGCATCTACCCATGCTCTTTCCTTAAAGTCCATTTTATCTCTTAATACCTCTTTAGATGCTTGGGCATTATTTGTGATAGTGAAACATTAGTGACCTCTTTCTCCTTCCTGAGGTCCCTCACACTTTGCACTCATCACTAGTCACTCACATTTTTCTCTCATTTCTCAGATTACCAGTTAAACCAAGGAGGTACTTGGGTTTCTTGTTCTTTATGCAATTTAAGCTTGTTAATTTCATGTACACCAGCAAGAAGTGAATGTTTGTTTGTTTGTTTGTTCATTTTGTTTTTTATTTTTAATTTAATCAATTACAAAAGAAAAAACAAATATATCAGTATTAACCATGTTTTTGTTACTTTCAGACTGTAAATTCAGAACTCTGTACACATGAAGCAAGTGACCCCAACTTAACCCCACAGATTGGCTCCAAAACAGTGGGTATCTAGAGCACTCACAATTTTTGCTAGAGTACACCTTGGGTCTTGTTTTCTTTGATCTTCGTAACCTTGTTCATAATGCTAGGTTTCATATTAGTATAAATCTGCTAGCATCCTTTTACAAATACTATAATCTGATTAGCTGGGCTACTAGCTTGTGCTCTGTGATAGGTAATGGGTCAAATGAGGAGCCTGTCACATTGTGGTTGTAAAAACATAAGTCTCTCTTGTAGTTCTATTTGGATAACTTTTAGATTTACACTATAACAGTCAGGTTAATATTTGCTCTCTGTTTCAGGGCATGATAGATGATTCTGGCTTTGACCTCGTCTACTGTTACTCAACAGAAATCTTGAACTAATACTCTAATTAAGAGCCCTTCCACTCCCAGATCTCAATAACAATTCTCCTTACTGTCTGCCAAACAATTCTTTTGATGTTAGTTCAGAGAATTTGGTGTTGGATTAACTAATATTTTTCTTTATTCTCATTACTTGTCTGCTTGATATTGTATTGATATTTTAAGGTACAATTCTGTCTTGGTCTTATGTGGAAGTTGAAGGGTTAACATCTCCTTTGTGTGCCTAAAGGCCTTTTGAATGAATATTGTATTCTTTCTATTTTCTTACAAAGGACTGTACAACTGATGTTAAATTGACTAAACCCAAACAGAAGCGGAAACTGGCGTATTCCATAAACACAGAAAAACCACCAGACTGCATTCTTCTAGATGTGATGGTAAACAAAAAGAAACCTGTGAAAGTCCTTTTTATGCAAGAAAACAATTGGTTACACATCAACCCTTCAAGTTTTCCAGTTGATACTTTGTTGTAGCGTGATCTCCACAATAGACATGACAGACAAAAAATTTACAAATTGCTCAAAATTTATACATTTAATACATTTTTATACATAATCAAGAGTTAAATGAGCTTATGAAAGTGACCTTGAACTTGAGATATTTTCCAAATAAAAGTGAATTGAAATGAAAAAAATAATTGTAGATTCTTAATTTTTGTGCAGCATCAGAAAAATGCTATCAACCTTCAACTCCCAAGATCAAATTAGTAACTGTCCATTCTAACTGTCATTCAATCCCTTGCTTAAAAGACCAAGGAATTTCATAACAGAATGAGACACTGTCCTTTACCCTATAACCTTATTTGTTCTTATTCCCTGTCTGAAGGATTAGTGTAATGAAAATCCAAGGGGAAGTTACATATTAATCATGTCAAGGAGTTGTTAACCTTTCACTCCCAAGATCTAATTGGGAATTCTCCTTATTATCTGAATTAGTGACTTCTTCAAGAGTGCTTACCCCCAGAAAGTTGCTACCATGAGAATAGCCTTTCTTTTGTTAGGAAATTAAGGAAATATTAGCTGTATCTCTGACTACCCCTTAGCTCAAAGCTAAGAAGCAGATGCTAAAGTAAATACAGTAACAGTACCTGCCCTATAACCTTTCATTCTCCATGACATTGTGTTTGTTTTGTCATGTTTATTTGGGGTTTTACATGCCCCCTTAAATGGTTTGATTAAGGCACTTAAAAGTGACAGCATCATTAATTTTTTCATGTAATAGCAATGAAAATACAATGTAAAATTCAAGTAACGAACATAACATTATTAGGAAAACACTGAAGTATTGTAAACGTTAAATACATTTCGAAATCAATTAGTTCTGTTGTAAAACATAATGTAACTTCTTCATGGCTGTTAAACCTTTTAAACCTTTTATACAATTGCCTTGCAACTGCAAGATAAACAAAATACCATGCTAAGAACTTGACAGGATTATAACTAAGAACAGAATTCCAGGCGCAGTTCTCTTTTACATGTTACTTTTTCCCATTAGACTTTTTGCCACCTGTTGACTTGGCAAAAAAAGAGGGATCCAGTTGATCCATGGGGACTCCTTTTGTAGCAAACAGCCTTTGAGCCCTCTGCTGTAATGTCCCTCCACACTTGAGCCCCCTTGACATTAGTTCCTCCTTCAGATGTTCCAATCCTAGGGATTCAAGCTCCTCTGCTGATGAGTAGCTATCAAGGCAAAACTCAACCTAGAAAGAAAAAACAAAATGTGAAACTTACTTCAATTACTTAACCCTTCAATCCCTAAGAATAACTAGCATCTAATTTCTCCTTACATTATCACCTCTGAATCTAGCATTAATGTCATGAGAATAAAGGAAATGATCACCAACTCTAGAAACTCTTGATTGTTAGACAAATTCTCCTTGTCAGCACCTTAGTAAATGTATAGAGAACAGAGTGGAAAATATGAATATTAATGTTAGGGTGTAGAGGGTAAATGTATAAGCAATTTTTTATGAAGGAGGGAGGGGAGGGGTGTTCAAATTGGGAAATCTCGAGTGGCAAGATGGACTTCAGTAACCAACCAGAAGAGAGGGTTTGCTTCTTCTGCCCTCCTAGCATAGCTGAGCTTGTAATAATAAAATCAATTGGTGAGTTTAGTGTAATAAATAAATCAGCATAAATATCAGGGTGATTCAAATATTCACTACTCAGAAGAGTAACTTTGAACAGGATGCCAATCACAAATTAATAACTTAAATTTTATACCACAATTATTTAGTGAACAGCCTGCTTTGAGTGAACACCACTCTAAGGTAGCAGGCCCTGAGCTTTTATCCCTAATTTTCTGTAAAATAAACTCCCCTTATTAGAAACTGGTGTGAAAATTTGAATGTCATATTTAAGTACAGACAATTGGATAACCTTGATTTAATATTTAAAATCCCAACCTTTATAATGGTCTCTTCTTCAGTAGCTTTATTGTCTTCTTCTCCTCTGGTAACTGTTTCTGTCATTCCATCTTTTTCCTGAAAATCTTCTCTCTGATCTTTTGTATTAGCGACAGCTGCTCTAATATGCTCTGTCTTTGTGTCTTCTTTCTGTGACTCAGCATTTGTTTCTGATGGCTGTGCAGGTGGCTTTGCTATCTTACAATCTGTGTCTACACAATGTCTGTTGTCTGAAGCCTCTTCAGGGACTGCAACCTCTGCTTGAGTGCTGCTACAAGACACACCAGTTGAAGTGCATGTGTGCCTGCTTGGATCTTCATTATCGTTGCTTCTGACAGGAGCCATCCCTTCTTCATCATCACCACTGTCTGACAGGTCTTCCATTCCCAGCCTGAAAGCAAACTGAAATTATTTTTTGCCTAACCAAACCTTGATGCCCTTACTAAGAAATACATACCAGTATACCTTGTGAAAAACTGTCAAAGAGTAGTTCTAAAAGGCAATTTTCTTCTTAAACCAAAAGAAACTTTTTTATTCAAATCACAAAACTTGAACATAATGTAGCATGTTCATGTTAAAAACAAGAAAAAATGCTTTTGGAAACATCTTTTCTGATTCCAGGGTAACAAAGCTCTTATACAGACAGACAGACAACAGTGGTTTTTAGTAAATTTCAGGTCAACTGCATATTAAACAGTTCACAAAACATTAATAGACTCCTCTTTTCCTCTGAACTCCTTCATGTAATCACTTGGATTTCGATGGAAAGGACAAAAATTTAAACCTCGGAGAGCATAAGGAGGGACTGTTTACCACAATCTACTTTTTTTCCCTCCTCCTGAAATTGTAGGATCCCCTGGATGAACTCTTTTTCCAGCTGCCTTCTCTGAAGTGCTTGAAGCACCTGATGATCTTGAACTGCCAGCTGCTTTAAGCCCTGAAACAAACAAACAAAAATTTATATATTTTAGCAATTAAAATACATATCTCACAATCGCTTCCTGCAAAATAGTGAAGCTAATTGAGGCCGGAGAGAAACAAACATTAAAACAAATTCTTTTATTAATAACAAGTTTGACTGAACAGAGGAAATGAGTAGGACAGCATGCATATACTGAAACAATGAAAAACAGTTTGATAAGTAATAGATAAGCCAATTAGGTGTTACATATTACAACTGGAATAAAATTACATGTGAAAAAAAACAACAACAACGAATGAAAGTAAAAAGATTGTAATTTTCTAAATTTATCAATTTAAGTATGGATGTCAACTTAAAATCCAAGAAAAAAAGTAAAGACATGAGTGATAAAAAAAAAAGAAAACATTCAGTTTAAAGTGGAAGGGAAGCTCTACAGGAAGTAGAAAAAGAGATGGAACAAAATGGGAGGATGGACACAACTGGGACGGATCCAAAATAAAGAGAAATAGGTAATAAAAAAATAGAAGTTTGGCTTTTAAAGTATAGGTACATCTTGAAACAGCATTTTCTTGACGGTTCCTGAAAATTTCAGGCAAGTACCTCACCTTGATGCAGTGCAGCTTCTATTCTCTCTGAATTTTGCTGAATATTCTGTGTGTATGTCTTATCATCAAACATGTGTTTTGGCATTGATCTTCTTCTTGCTAACCTCTCCTGTTTCTTCTGTTCCTTCTCTCGCTCTCTTTCAGCTTGTTTAGAAACCCATTCAGCAATCCTTGAAGATAACAAGAGATTAAAAGTTCATCAAAATTATGTGCAAAATATAGAGTTTTACAACCATGGACCTAGTTCATAAAGGTGACATTTTCGTGAAACACGAATGAAAAATTTATTAACCCTTTAACTCTCAGATCAAATTTGGAATTCTCCTTACTGTCAACTATGCAATACTTATTATGGTAGTTCAGAGAATTTAGTATTAGATCAACTCATCTCCAAATTGATATTTTTCTTTATTCTCAACACTTTACCTGGTTGATATTGTATAGATATTGTGAGGAGAAATTCTGTCTTGATCACTCATGGGAATTAAAGGGTTAATTGAACCACACCCCACCACTTTCACTCCTAAGAGTGACCAATATAATTATTTTATCAAGTATAACAGTGATGAGAAGAAAGTCAAATATCAAAAGCTGGATACCAGTTGAATCAGCACCAACTTCTTAGAGCTAAAATCAAAATAAAAATTCATCACAGACAATCCAGAGTATTGATACTTAGATATTAGAAGCTTCTAGCACAGAGAGATCCCTTCTTCAAGACACTTAGTGGTAAATCTTCACGTCTCAGACTGAGGATCATAAAAACCATACCATATCACACAGTACATGCCAGTTTAGTCAATATGACAGTGAACTTCTTCCACCTCCACTCACTGCCCCTTCCCTTCTGCCTTTCTTGGCTTAACACAATGGGGTTTCCATAAAAGCAGGTTTCCAGCAGTCTATTGCTATCTATAAGAACTCTCACCACAGTCTGTTTAGCATATGAGCTGCTCATCGTGTTTGGCTTTCACCTTACCGTCTCTTTTCAGGCACAGAACACATTCAACCATTGGCAGCCACTAATGGACAAAGTTATGAAAAACTCGTGCTAAACACATACTAGAATTTTATAACTGAGTGAGTCAGTCATATAGGAGATAAAAGGATGGACATGATCAAGCTTTGTCTGTCAGAAAATTTCCACTTACTTTTTTTCGTCATTTATGTCTCTCATTCGTCTTCCACTCAGATCTCGGCATGCTTCTCTATTTGTGGTCTTCTCAATCTGTGCTCCGATGGCGCGTAACATGGAACCAAACCCTCCCTTTCCACCCGGTAGAAGCAGACTAGCATAGCACACGTCTCCATCTTGAAGTAGCAGTTCTCTGTCATCAGTGACAAGATGGCCATTATGGATCACAGACAAGTCTTGTTCTGGTATACCCTGACAGTAAATATCAGTATCTATTAAGGCCAATCTATATGTGATTTAAAAATCGCTTGTCCAACCCATGTTCGATCCGTGGAAAAATTCGTTTTCGCAGTAGAACCTTACGTGGGTATGTTAATCGTTATTCTTAAACTTCCACCACGAACACGTTATGCTTTCATAAGATAAAGCTATCCCTGCCTTTGTATCAAAACTTACCCCACAAAGATCCGATGCGATCTTTTTCAGCTGTTTTCCATTTTCCACCACGTAGTCATCTACATTTAAACAGTGGAGCTTTCGATGATATGTATAGAAGAACGCCGACATTTTGGATTTTTCCTATGAGCTTGGATTTATGGGTAGTTTGGCACCTACCGCGCGGGATCTGAAACCGATGAAATGTTGCAGAGGGTAGGGTTGGACATGGAGAGATGGCAATAGGCCGGGTGATGGGTTCCTGGGTATGGAAATTTTTGTAGCAATAAACTCAAATGCCCACCATCTATCAAAGGCCTATAACACTTGAAAGAGAGTCTCAATGACAAATTTGTAACTTTTACATCCAACACAGTGGTATTTCAATCTCACTAAACAATTTTGTGCAAGTGATCAGCTTAATTCATGCTGAAACTGTTTGGTGGCTCTCCATACATCTGTTTACTATATGCACTTTGCTGACAGAAGCAATACATCAATTTTACATAATCCTTTACTATCATTCACCTGATGTTTGATGGTTACAATACTTTGTCAAGGTATTGTAACAATTGACATACATCAGTCAGAACTGTAGACAGAATATTCCTTAGACATTTATTTTGACTTGTAAGGGTACAAATTTCTGAAATTTATCAATATCATGTAAGTAAAAATGAAAGGCAGACAGAATTTTGGGCTCCTGAAAAAACTTTATTAGATATACTCCATCTTTTAATATAATTCCAAGAAGTTATTTACATCTGACTTCAACTGACAGTCCTGCTCATTACAGAGAGCTCTCAAGTCTCATGCATTGAACATGAGACTCACACAAACCGATTCAAATTTAGGCTTTCACACTGAAGTCATTATTTCTCATACAATCAGGGTTTCTGATTTAAACTGTTAATTTTGACATAGTAAACCACAGCTTTAATTAGTTAGTGCCGATAAAATTAATTATCCCTCTCAGGAGCCCATTACTTAAAGGGTTCCTTTCCCACTGGACATAATTTACTCCTTTTCCTCTCGTGTTTGCTTTAGAACAATTACCCACAGTAGAAATTCTCACAAATCTTTAGGGGAGGGGAGCATGCTCCCA